TACAGAGACTTTGGATTTCCATTCATTCACTGTTGCTCTTTTCTCCCTGCCCACTGCTCCCCCCAGTTTGCTCTTCTCTTTGGAAAGTAAAAGAAAAATTCTTCCATTGTTATACAATCCCTCCCCCAAAGTCCACTCCACTATGCAGCCTTTGTTCCCGACTCCTGTCATGAAAATAACACCTAATCATATCTGCCTTTTAAACAGTTCTCTCCCTCATCTGTTTCAATGCAGTATACATTATTTATCCCATCTTTCTCAGTCTCCCCACAACGATGATATCAGTCCCATTTTACAACAGTGGCACTATGCAGTATTTGTCCTTTTGTGACTGAGATGTTTAATTCAGCATAATGTCCTTCAGGGTCACACATTTTGAATAATATTACAAGTTCCTTGTTTTTCAATGCTGCATTGTATTCCATTGCGTAAATATACCACAGATTCTCTATGTATTTGTTTGTTGATGGGCACTTAGGTTGTTTCTAATCTTTGCTATTGTAAACAAATGTTTAGTAAGTAAAAATTCAGAGGATTGTAGTTAGTTAAGTAATTTATTACTAGCCAAGAGGTTTGCTTATACCTACCCAGTGTTACCTCAGAAGAGAGAATATAATCTTGAAAACCCTGTGGAATGCAGCTTTACTCAACATTTAGAGTTGCCATGAATGTAAACTGTGTTGATGGCACTTGGATGGGTTTCAGAGTTAAATCACTGCTCTTAGAAACCACAAAAATTAATAATATTTCTGCCCTTATGAAATTTTAGATTATTCTCCAGACAAAAGAGATGCAAAATACCACTTTAAAGATCAAAAGAGCATAGATATAGATTTGAGGATAAATACAATGAATTAAAACCTGGGTGCTCTAACAGGGCTTAAACATGGTGATGGCTGAACGTAGTCCAAGACCAGGCAGTGGTGTGTCTTTTGTTTGCTTGTTTGTTTATTTTTCTGTTCCACATAGCATCTATTTCCGTCAGTACCAACTAAATGATGCTTAACTATTCTCTCTTCCTCCTCAAAATAAATTGTCAATACATCTCTTCGGACTCGTGATCATTCCTTGTGTTTTAGAATAGAACTAAGTTCTACAATATTTTCCACAACTGATTTTTTTGAAATTAGATCATCAGACATTTCAACAGCATCTCTGGCTGGATTAAAATTGTCCATCTGGTAGCCAGCAGTGCTAAACTGTGCCACCCAGTGACTTGCCTTATATACAGAACATTAAATTTAAAAAAATTTCCTGTACAGTATAGTAATTTTCTTAGAATTAATTTTCTAAGAGTACATTTATTTTTCTAATTATACATATGTTGTTATTATTTTTTGTACCTTTGAGCCAGAACCAGTTCAAAGGTGACTCTCTAGCAGGTTTGCAGAAGTACTAAATCACCTAGGAAGAGATTCTTTCTTTTTCTTCTATAATGTTGTTTATGGATTCAAATCATGAGCCAACTCTATGACTCCAGCTGTTAGAAATTCAACTATATATGTAATTGTGTAACTTGAAAAAAAAAATTTTGTTATGTGAAGACCAATTGACTAGCCTTCACCACATAGTTTGCAGGTTAACTTTTGCTAATGAGCTTATTTAGATAACAGTTAGAAATCTTATAATTAGTCTCATGCATAGTGGTATTTCACTTTCTCCTTATGCTCTTCTCACTTTTCAATATCTTATTTTCTCTTTAATGTTTAATAATAGTTAAGAATGTTGTTGTTGTTGTTGTTATGTGCCGTCCAGTCGCCTGCGACTCATAACAACCCTAGTTAAGAATAGTATGTTTAAAATTTTGATTTAAATAATGTGTTTGATTTGTCACTTTACTGTTCCCTTACACTTCTCCAACTTTTTTTTTCTTTTACAGAAATTTTCATCCAGCCAACTCCGATAGTGACATACAGAGTTACTGGTGGCATTCTGGACTTTTACATCTTTCTGGGTGATACTCCAGCACAAGTAGTTCAGCAGTTTCAACAGGTGTGTTTCATGTCTGTTTTATGAAATTCTTTCATGGCCTATCTTTCTTTCTTCTAACATGCCTGTTTACTTAGCTGACTAGACTTTATAAACCAAGGCCTCTTATTCGTAAATATTTTACCTTTTTTAGAATTGAGTAATGTTATGGTTGGATTTCCCCCCTCCATATAATAATACGCATGTATACTTGTCTATATTTCGAATTTTGAAATAGCATTATGCCCCTAGGTAGTTACATTTAGGAATAACAAATCTTCGAGCTGACACCCATTTCTTGTTATTCTAAAATTACTTCTTTTTAAAATTATTTTATATTGGTTGCTTATAAAGTTCATATATGTTATATGTCACACTATCACTCATTCACATGAAGTTTTATACAATCATCCACCTACATTATGTTTTACAAAATTAATCAATATTGGACTATACCCACCATCACCCTACCCCTCTGCTCCCACCACTTCCCCCACTGAATCCCCATACGTGTTTTACTAGTTCTATTTTTTACAATAATGGTCTTATGCAGTCCTTGTTCTTATGAGACTGAGTTAGTTCACTCAGCATAATGCTCTCCAGTCTTCCTAACGTTATGTCGTATTTATCAAAATCCTTGCTGCTGAACGCTGCATGATAATCAATGATGTGACTGTTCCACAATTTCTCAGTCCATTCAGTTGTGGTTAGATATCTGGTCTGTTTCCACGTTCTTGCAATGGTGAATAATTTTCCTGGGGCATATTTTCTGCTTGAAGAAAGCAAAAGTACTGTCTGCATAGACTAATATATTAATGATCAGTAATATTTAAAATTGGATCCATAAATTATTTTTATTGACAGATTGTTTTAGTATTTCAGTCAAAAGGCATATATATTATATATACTTTTAAAATATATAAGTACAGGAGATATTTGAAATAATACAACAATCTGTTGTTGTTAAGTGCCATCAAATCGTAGATGACTCATAGCGACCCTATGAATGAAAGACCTAAATATTTATATAACTTTCATCATTTCTCCAGGTTCATAGAATTTCTGGAGGTAAGCTATTTTGGAAGTGGATGCCACTCCTGCTTCCAAGCTCATTTTAATTGGGAAGCTCCACCAAACACTGTCCACCATGGGCAACCGTTATCACATTTGACACATCAGTGTCACAGTCCTCCGCATCACAGCAGCTACGAGTTATAGCACATCACAGGCCAGTGCTATGCCACTTAGAAGAATAAAACAATCTAGCCATTTAAATATTTCATAGATTTAATTTTAACATATTGCTGGT